TTATTAAAATAAAAGTTAACTTGTAAATTACGATTAATCTTAAGTCAAATTGAGTTATGCAATAGATCAATAATTTTAGTCAATATATCTCAGATTGTTGGTAAGCACTTTAAAAGGTAACCCAACATATACCATGGAAGACGAATAGACCTTTATACTTATGTAGGTAATTTTATCAAATCTATATCAATATCGATTATCCAAATCAAAGTTATAAAATTATTTAGAATATTTAGTATCTTCTCATATTTAATTTTGATAAATTCATCAGGTCCTTTTCAATGCGACTAATCAATTTTTATGTATAAATTCATTATAAGCAAAGGTATTTAAAAAATGTATTTATATAAGATTATGTAATACCCACAGACCGATGCAGGTGATCTGATCCAATATGAGGTGTCACATTAGGGCCACTAGAGCGACCCACAGTAAAAATCCCAAAAAAATTAAAATTTCTGTTAAAACGTGTAAAATCATAAAAATATTTATAAATAATACAAATTCAGAAAACCATGCATATGTTATAAACAAGATTAAAATCATACAAGTGTCAGACTCTCATATAAAAACAGAATACAACCTACATGCCCCCTAATCACATGCACCGTACTCCGCAAGCAACGCCGGTGGAACTCCTTTACTGATGTCGATAGTTGCATTAGTACGATTCTTTTAACCTGAAATGGTGGGTAAAAGAGTGAGCTTTGGGAAGCTCGATAATGCAGAACTACCAAGTGATGCTGAAAGACATGCAGATAAAAGGAAAACAATAGAATTTTCCTTATTGACTCAACAATCTACAATTTTCGTAATGAGCTGAGGTTCCACTGATATATTATCGAGTAAAAGCCATGAATATTTCAGTTAATAGGAAACATTGAGAGCACCAAGTTTTCAGGAGATCGGAATAAGATGTCTAGTGTGTTCCAACCAAAACTAGTGAAAAGGTACAAATCTTTTTTTTTTTAACAATAACAGTTTAAAACATATTTTTAAAACCATAGTAGAACCTTCCAACTGAACACCTTTATGCAGTTCCCCTAGACCTGCATTCATAAGGACTTACCCTAAGCACACGCAAATGAGCCACCCTAAGGGAATGCCTTGAGGCCTATGGGCCTACCCAAGGGTCTCTTTAGGTCCCTAAGGATTAACCAGCTTGATCAGAGTTGAACCTCCATACTCCAGAATCCTACTTATACAGTATCCAATAAAAATCAGATTTAATAGTAAACAATAATATCTGGATCGTGATCCAATAAAATCTCGTAAGAGTGACAGTGAAATAAACCATATAACTACCCTCCACCCGTGCACCATATGTAGTCACATGATTTACCCAAGGGAATGCCTTGGGGCCTTAAAGCCTACCCAAGGTCACCTTAGGTTTGTAAGGATTTACCAGCTTGATTAGAGTTGAATCTCCATACTCCAGCCTACCCAGATAATGTCCCAATAAAACAATTCAAGTAGTAACCAATAGATTTCATGATCCATAAATCAAAAACAATCATATTTTCTAGTGAAAACATGAAACCATATAACACATTTCAGGTAACCATAGTTCATAAACCTGTAGATTCCATGATCTATAAAACAAGAACGATAATATTTTATAGTGAAAACATGTAACCAAGGAACATATTTCAAGCAACCATAGTTCATAAACCAGTAAATTAGTGATTTCGAAAAATCATGTTTAAAACAGGTAAAACATTTACATGCCACATAAGGAACACACTAGAGGATCCAAATATTATTCAGAGATACTTGGTATTTATCATATAGGGAACCATGAAACTTTTGTAATCTAATAGGATTTTAAAATCAAGATCCCTATAAAAGGGGGTTTGATAGCTAGCTAATTCATCATTCATTCGGGAAGTGATTTATCAAGATCATACAATATTCATATATTTTTCGTAGGTAATTAAGTATCAGGAAGACATTTAGAATCTTCTATATCAGAATTATTGAAGATTTAGACATAACATGAGTGTTCCCATTATTCAGGAAAATGAGGGGCATTTTAGACATTTGGTTCTTAGAGAATTCTTAGTAATTTATTCTAATAAGAGTAGAGCGATGATTTGTGTTATTTAAGATTATATATTGAATTATCAGGATTTCAAGTCCAATTGAACCAACGATCACAACACTGCGATACTTGTCAATCATTCGGACTGTGATGCTTCTCTATTATTCACTTCTTAACACTTACTGCACTAGCTGAACTGATCAATACCATGATCATCGTTGAATGGATCTTAGGGAGACTAACATGTATTCCAATAGTATTTATTTCATTTCTGTGTTGCAACGGTATCATGAAATGTCGACGTGATGGATTCGTGGTTCAAAACCCTTAAGGACGATACATCATATAAGTTCATCAGCATTTCCAAACTTATCTAAGTCATTCGCTTAATTCTATGTCATTGAGGGTACTTAGGTCATTTAGTAGTCAAGTCTATCCCGATCACTTCGGAGTTCCAGAGTAATTCAATCGTTTCCACAATTCGGATACATACATTACTTCCATTCAGTTCAACTTGGTCATATAATAAAGTCATTTTGTTATTCGAGGTTGATTTATTTATTTCAGAGCTTGAGGCTATTTAGATATTCTGGTGCTTCTACGTACTTCGGGTCATTTTACACTTCAGGGGAATTCCAAATAGATCAGGAATTTAAGTGGTGACTCCAAGGTTCAAGTGGATGAAAAATATAAGTTCTCAGGTCATCTCCATTATCATAGCTATCCATATCCTTTTATACACTTTAAGGGTATTATCGTCATTTCATTCAATTATGTTAGTGGCATTACTTCTGATAAATTAGGCTTCAAGTGTTTATTCAAGAATCAAAGTTTATAGGCCTTGTTCTTTCTATGAGGTTTATAGCTGATTAAAAGATATATTCCAAATAAATTAGGAGTTAATAGGTGGGTCATAAATTTTATAGGGTTAAAATACAGATTCTCGGGGTAATTCCATTACCAGGGTCAATACATATCATTTTTACAACTTAAGGGTATTTTCGTAATTTCTTAATCACGTATTCCTCACGTTTACCTTTAATGAAATTAATCAAAATTTTGGATTCTGAGATCAATTTATTTCTACATAATCCATGAACTTAGAATAATTTCCGATCAGTCTACCAATTTCTTTTAAGAGCCGTCTGAGCCTTATACAATGCCCTACCTTTATTCCATATTCAGTTTAAGTCCAATGAAAATTAAATACACCCAATTGACCAATCATTTTCATTCATGCTTTTACCAATTATCAATGTGTTTCGAAAAGCATACAAAAGGTAGTAGAGTAATACATTGATTTACGAGCCATATCGATCGACTATTTAAACTCTTTTCAATCTCTCTCGAACTTTAATTCCACGTCCCATAATGTCTCGGATATATAGAAAATGAATTTATGTCAGAAACTGAACTTAATCGAAAAACCAAATTTGGTTCCGAATATAAAACACTGAAAAATGACTTACCAAGTTGGAATTTGGCAAAACAAACTTTGGATTCGAACTCAAGACGTTGAAAAACATAAAATATAACTTTTCAAAAATTTTAACTTTTCGGTCAAAGTCAACGGGTTTACTCGGACGAGTTGACTTGAATGAATTGACTTAGTCGAGTTGACTTGGTCGGGTCAAACAGACCCGGTTCAGACTAGTTCGGGTTGGTTCGGGCTGACTGGATCAGTTTCAGAAGTTTCCTGGACCGGCGAAAAAATCCCACGTGCACTGCCAGCGCGTACAGTGACAAGGACGGTTGAAGATGTCCGATTAGACCAGTCATGCCAAAAACACCAAAATCAGTCCTTAACTACTCAAAAATTCAGCCAAAACAACTTAAAAGTAAAAAATAGAATAAAAATATTACCATGGTGGCCAGCGAAAGAAAGATGATTAGACGGCGATAACGAATGGGTTTTGATCGAGACAGCTTAGGGAACTTAATTAGAGGGGCGGTGTGGCCAACAGACGATTATTTTGGCTTGAAATCGACAAAACACGAGGAGAGCATGGGTTTTTTGACGAACCTTCAGCATGATCTCCACAACATATGATGACTAATCTTAACGAACGATCAACATGGTTTCTATCGCAAGGTATCAGTGAGCACGCTTATGCAGGCGGTGCACGACACTGTCAGACGATGACTGATCGAACGATCTTTTTATATTCTATGAACAAGGATTATGAGTTTGGGTTGTTGGTTGATGGGTTTGTCGCGAGATGGTGGCAATTCTAATAGGGGCGGAGGAGTATACCACCGCCGATCAGAGGGTGACAGTCGACACTTGTCGGTGAAAGACGGGTGTGGCTGGTTATTTTGTGAACATTTTAAGTTATTGGTTAGTTTTCAAATTAAAAAAATGAATGGTTTTGGGTGTTTATTTTGGTTGCAAAGAAGGGGAAAATGCAAGCTTAGGTTCATGAACTTTTAAAAATTTCAAAAAAAAACCGTAAGTTTCCCAATCCTCACAAATGGTCCCTTAATTAAATAAAATAAATTAATTGCATTTTATATAAATATATTGGGGTGTGACAGATTATTTCTTCAAGATATTTAAAAAAAATGTAACTTACATGTTTAATATCTCAATTATTACTTTTGTTTCATTTTGATCATGTAACTATTTTTTTCAAAATCATACGTTATGTTTTTGTTTTATTTTGATAACTTGCATTAAAAAATTAACAGAAACTGTTAATGTGATATTTTATTTTTTCATTGATGAAGTGAAATTATCTTATGGTGACACGTCAACATCACCGTTAAATTTTGATTGAAGGTGACCAAATTGAAATTAAAATTAAACGTTAAATATGATTTTGAAAAAAAATAGTTAGGTGACTAAAACGGAACACAAGTGATAATTGGGGTACCAAACATGTATTCTACCCCAAATAATTGTTTAAGAGTATTTCAATTGTTCACCACTTAGGTTGTGAGTATATGTATATTACGAAGTCTTTGGTTTTCTGTGATTTTCAGCTAAGGAAGCGAAAATGAGGAACCGTTTTCCCAAACGGCTCATCCAAACTTCATCTTCTTCTTCGTATCGTTTCCTACACTCTTCTCGAAGCGTAATCTCTTTGATTCTCGATTTTCTCTCCTTGTTTTTGGAGGTGGTTCAACTTCATTTTGACATAACATTTTTACTTTTTTTTTATCGTTCGGGTTTTGCGGCATTTCATAAGCAACTTACCTTTTTTTGTCTGTTTAGATTCTTTAGCCGGAGTTAAGTATGTAGCATTTTGTATGGGCCTACAGCTGAAAACGGATTCTCACTTGAATTGTTTGAATTAGGGTTTCTAGTTATCTTTAATCTTTTTTATATACTATTTAGTATTTGTATGGATTTACTTAACTTTGCAAATGTTGAAAGGGGATATGAACCATTGTTTAAAATTCAACTTAACTTCCTTGATTAAAAAAAACCTTGACTTTGAATTTCCATATCTTTAATCTTTTTTATATACTATTTAGTATTTGTATGGATTTACTTAACTTTGCAAATGTTGAAAGGGGATATGAACCATTGTTTAAAATTCAACTTAACTTCCTTGATTAAAAAAAACCTTGACTTTGAATTTCCAGAGAGAGATTTATGAGTTAGGGATTGGGGTAAACTTCCTTGTATGAACCAAACTCAATGAGCATGGGCAGATTTGTTGAACATTTAGACATTTTGAATATAACTTGTCTAGCAGTAAAATTATGTTACTTGTTACCCAGCTCATTTAAAGTGCCGGTGTTAGATATTCTATGCCCAATAAATAGTTGGACATGGCGGTTTTATTCATCAAATATACATAAAACCTTAAAAAATAGGCACAACTACGTCAAACATATACTCATATCTGACATTCTTCCTAGTCCAAGCAATACAGATAAGAATAAAATCTACACGTGGATAGCACAAACTCCATTAGCTTTGTGGTGTTCAAATTCAATTATCTTTTCAACTCTGGGATACTGGTATTAGTCTGACACATATATAATTATATGCTCAACTTTTTTGAAGTTTTTCAATATACTTGGAAGATTGTATCACATCTTATATCCAAATATGTTTTGGACATGAATACTTAAAGGAAAATGAAGAGTACAAGTAACATAGGTCTTATTAATGTGATTTTAGAACAATTTGTTTGTTTTTTCTTTGTAACAATGTAAAAGTCAGATATGTCATTGCAATTGCATACATTTCATAATCTTCACATTGTCAATCTGCTAAACCCTGGCGAGTCACGTTCTGCAATCCACTATGCTTCCATGTTTAAACTTCAATTTTGTTACATGTCTGTTTGACTTTTATCTTCAACGACTCATGTACATATGCACTTTCTGTGTTTTTTCGTGCTTAATCTGAGATATTCTTGAACTATTAGTACTTTTTTGGTTTTGGTTTTTGCAGAACAAGGTTTCAGCTCGTGCGATTGAGGAGGAAGGTGAAAGTGAAACAGTTGCATCTCTGAGGTAAAGTTTTACTTGAAAAGAGATAGACTTAATGCCTAAGCCGTTTAAGGATGTAATTGGTATGAAATGATTTTGATCGACCAACACGTATTCAATTTTCATGGAGTCAATTTTGGTTCCCTTGCTCCTCCTCTTTATCCTTTCATATCATAGGGTGTTGCTAATATTAAGTATACATCGATTTATTGACATTTCTTATGGCATGTCTCTGGCTTTTGAATGTTTCCTATTGCTTCTTGTTATCAAACCTTGTGAATATGTATATTTCTTGATTAGATATGAAGCACTGACCACAACATATACCCTACATACCGATGTCGACCGTTACAAGCCTCTAAGTCTAAGCATGGCCAGATATGCATCCTATAAGTCAGGACAAACCAAAAAAAAGTTAGATGTAGTAAAGATTACGAAATGGCAAGGATATGGATGGATTTTTTTTCTTTCTAAATATTTAATCCACAATACAATTTGGGCAAAAGGAAATCAAGAATCCCCAATCAGATTACGAAAAAAGAAAAAAAAGGAAAATGAACTAATAGCTTAAATTGATTTTTTGAACTCAGGATATTAAATCAAGAAGAAAAAAAGGAAAGAAGTTGGCTGATGCAGGCTCCATGAATCAGTGGTTGTGAGTCTTATCTTCTTCAGAGGCAGTGTTCAAGAACCATGTGCAATCATCAGCAAAAAATAAAAGTTCGGTTTCAATTTTTTTTGTTTTGTGAATTGATTGATTGCTGGTGTTCTTGCTTTGCCTTTAAAAACATCTAGGAGATTTTTACCGTTCATTTAGTTTTTCCCTGGTTGATGTTAAAAGCTTACTATTATGAGTTTAAAATATGAAGATAAAAAGGGTTGGAATGAGCACATGACCTTTGGGTCACCCTTGTGAGCAGATTAATTGGATTATATTATACTATAATTCCTCCTTTTGGTGGAAAAATGTTCCTATCTATCACATTTATTTACATTAATGTGTCTACCATATAAATTTTATTTTATTATTCTGTGTACTGTACCCGCATCTTTATAAAGGTGGTGTGATGGTATGCCACGGTAGTTGATGCACTCTTTAGTTTGTACATGATGGAAGTAGTATACTTATACTTCTGCTCTTGGCTTCTTTTAATATAGAGAAAACCTCGGGTTTTCTTACGGAACTAATTGGGGTCTGGCTGGAAAAGGTGTCATTGTGAAGGATAAAGCTTTCCAAAACTTGAAGTCATCTGAATTGCAACAAAATGGTGCAACCATTGCAGGTAAAACTTTATATTATGTTCAGTGAAATGGTACTTTATCCTTTTTATTGTTTACGTGTTTCTGATTTTTTGGTTCCTATTTCTTTTGTTAGAATCCTTGTCAGGGCTTCCAGTTCATGTTAGAGGAACTCTTGGGGGAACTTCAACAATTTCAAAGGCACAATATAGTAAACTTTTGAAGCAGGTATGTCTTGTTTTTGGGCTGTTACCATCTCTGTTCTTATTTTGCCTTTATTCTTAGGTGTAAGAATGAAAGTTTCTTTTCTTTACTCACTCTCCAGCTTGCTTCCATGCATTTTATTTCTCTGTTATACATCCCTTCTATGTGCATGGTTAGAATCTTAGAGAATAACCTTGGTTACTTATATTTGTAAATGGTAACATTTTTCTACTAAATGCTGTGTTTTGTATACTGTAGTGGGAAATGTTAAATTCATGACTATTAACTAGGCAGGATGAAGCTTAGTGCCTGAAAGTTACTTGTGGAAAATTTGACAAAAGAGGGTCGCAGAAGCCAAGTGCATATATATATATATATATATATATATATATATGTGTGTGTGTGTGTGTGTTTATATATATTACATTAGCAGTGGACCTTTTGTGTAGAAGAACAGAGTATTGGGTACTTTTCATGGAGAAAACAGAAAGGCATGATGTTTGATTTTCTTGAGCTTAGATCATAAAAGATGTGCTAAGATCAGATATATATGTCTGCACAGTAGTTGCTGTTTGGAAGTTGCTTCTTGATTTCCTATAGTAATACACAGCACATGTCGTCAATCTCAAACATTTTTGTCCATGATGGGGCTATCGGTTTATCACCAGGATCTGATGCTAAAGTTCGTATGATTAGTGACAGTCCATCTGCTGTATTGACACTTTCAAATGTTCTTTGGGAGACCCCTATTCGTGCTGTCGCCCATGATTCATGTCCTTTAACAGTCTATGCTGCTACATCAATAAGGTTTAAATTTAAATGCTTTTGTTGTTTTAAATGCATTTTGTAGTTGCAACACACACATGTATGTGTATAATGTAGGACCTTAAATACAGTTCTAATTTCCTGAAAATAATTTCAGTTACTTGGTTTCTCCTTGTAGTGTTCGGCTCCCCCACCCTGTTTCAGTGGAACTCTAGCAGAACTAATTGTGTTTGTGTGTTTTGGGTCAGTTAGAACTAATAATGTTTAAGATTTAATAATTCATGATTTTACAGCTTCTGATTTTTACTTATGCAGTACAGCTGTCGGGGATGTCATTGAGCTTGGAACTTATGGAAATAATGGATTTATTGCTGCTGATGTTGAGTGATCTTCGCTTATTTTGTGTGGTAAAGCATTTGCTGATATAAATGGAACTAAATTAGCATTAGCTGCTTTATCTGAGCCGGTTATATCTGCACGTGCAGGCCTTCCGCTATCTGCTAGGTAAGAGCTTTTTATCTTCTGTTACATTGTCAAAATAAATGTGCATATGTAACTCAGGTCTGCAGGTTGGAAATTTCAGGCTCATAGTATCTGGTGATTCTGTGGTTCTTTTGATTGCTTCAGAGAATGTCATTCAGAGTTGTGCAGATCTGTTGGTATCTGCAAATACCAGTGTCGTCTTTTCTTCTTGAGGCGTTGCACCCTTGTTTTGAACCAAAAAATACAATGGCATAAATATATACAAGATACCATCTTCCATCATCCTTGCAACATTTGATAGGTAAGCGACATGTTCAGTTTGTTTCAACAATCATATGCAATATTGCAGTGCAACCTGATGTCCCCCCTGGTATCCGTGTCTTCTTTCCTTTGCATCATTCATGAAATGTGCTATGCTAGCAAGAGTGATCTTTCAAAGTCGAACATTAAATAATTGTTCAAGAGTTTGTTGAATTTAGTGGCTGGTTATCTCGCATATCCACTTGTCTTGGAACATGTGAAACCACAGAGTGCTAGTTCTTTATCCAAGTAAGAAGTTAACATTTTTAATTTAAAGGAAAATCCATATTACTGTGTGCACTTTTGATTCTTGCAGATATCTTCCATAAACATTCTCATGTTGCTTATCCTTCCTCTGAGATATAAATTAAGTACTGCACCCCAAACACCAAATAAAACCATAAAGAAATTGATAAATGCAAAAAATCCCTCATGTTTCTCTTCTTTAGACATCACTCAAAACTAGCAACTGAAAGTGCCTAGAATGTATTGACTTCAGCGGCTTTCCTCCAACATTGCTTATACTTGTACTTCTTTCTCCTGATAGTTCCATGGAAATTTTTTATATTGTATGGTCGAAAGGTTGTATTTTCAACTTTCTTAGTGGTTCACTGAATGGGCTTCGAAGGGCAGACTAATTATTGAAAGTGATTCAAAGATAGCAGTGGATTGGATAAAAGATCAAGCTATAGCCCCTGCTTTTCTGTCAAATTTTGTCAAGGAAATTGCTTCTACTGTTTCTACTGAACAGGTTATTGTTAGGTGGATTCCTAGATGGTGTAACTCTGAGGCTGATAAGCTAGCAAAGGAAGGAATTGGGTGATTAATAACGTTGTTTTGGTTGGTTTGTAAGTCTTACAGGAAAGGTCCTATAGGAGTGTTTTATGTTTTATGTAGTTTGCAAGACTGTTTTTAAGTCTTATGTAACTGGCTTATTATCAATAAATTAATGCACTCTTGTCCTCCTTCCGCTAGTTGGTTCTAGCCTTAGGGCAGAGAACTACTATGAGGGAGGTTTTTAATGAGGCATTCTATTCCTATCAAAAAAAAAAATCCTGAATAATCCGAGAAACCATACTCAAATTGATATATTTAGCATGTTTTTCCTGCATATATTGACCTTGTTACAAGAGTGGATTTTTCCCTCTGCACTTCTGGTGGTATCCCCTCTGTATCAGAACTCTCTCCGGGTCAAGCTGCTTATCACTTTTTGGCTGGCTATCAAAATGGGGAGTTCGTGCCTGCTTATGCTAAAGGCCCTACCTCTATTGGTGCATTAGATATTGCAAAGGCCCTTCTCTAAGGTTAAAATATGAAAATTTACTAGCTTATGTAATTTTTTCTTAAAAAAATCATAATACCATTGAATTAATTCATTGTCTCATTAACTGCTGATGGGCTGCACTAACATTATATGTTTATAAAATGTTTCTGTAGTTGAAAGAGCACCTGATACCGACCTTCCTTGCCAATGTTGGTCATGGAGGAAAGAATGTTACAGGTGAAGAAAAATCATGAAAATATTCCTAACATCTACCTACATGGTTATGTTGTTCCGACTCATCATTTTTCTTAAAGCATCTATGTCTGATACTCCAAATGCATGAAAAAACATAAAAAACTGAAAATATCTAAGTTGGACACATCCGTATCTAGCACTTACACCCAAGTCTAGGTAACATAAATGCACTGGATTTTTGTTGATAGTCAGATAAATTAATTCCTCATTAAATCATCTTAAGGCTTGAACTTCTAATTTACAACACCGCCCCATTAAGTCAAAATTGGTGCTACGTTTGGTAGGAGTGTTATTTTTTTCTCATTTTCTGTAAATGAGTTAGAAATAAACTAACTTCACTTGGTAACTTTTACCCACTGTCATTTAGTTTAACTAATGGAAGGAATATACATTGCTTATTTTGAATATTTGTTTTTTTACTTATAAATCTTTCGAGTTTCAAGTTTGGATTTGTAATACTACTAATTCTTTCTTTATGTTCTGAAAAACTATTTTAAAATCTCATGTAATACATAAGCTTGTCTTTGTGTTAGTACTTATGTAACCAAACGTGAATGCATGATATCTCATTCAATTTGTACTCAGCTTAGTTTGACATCTTCATCTCATTGCCATTCCATTATGCCTTGTGAAAACTCTTGATATTTCTTCTTCTTTTGGCATCAAATCAAATAGGAATACTAAAAGTAAGATCCTTCTTTGGTATACAATTATCTATTCCCGTTTCCTCTTTAATATGGAATACAGAAAATAGTTTACAGGTCGTACAGATCTATAATTACATGAATAGGAAAAAATCCGCCAAATCAAATCCCTTATCCCATCTTCCTTAGCCAAAACTCAGGTGAAAAGCGGGCAGAACCTTGATCTGTTATTTTAGGTATTCCACAGTAATTCATTCCCATTTTTCCTGCTTGAAGGATTTGTTTAGTTATGATAGCTATGCAGCCCTCTTTATTTGCATCTTCTGCAACTGTTGGGTTGGATTTATTTACCTGAATGCAATATTTTCAGGTGGAGACCTTAAAAGGAAATATGAAGGCTTTTGTCAGGTAAGTTTCAAGAAATACCGAAAGAATTCTCATTCTAAGAGTCAAGTTCCATAAAGTACAGTGCCTAACACGTATCTGAACAAGAGGATGGTCTTTACACATATCTGAACACATGTATAAGAATAGATCATTTATTTGCACATATCCATATTCGACACATTTTGAACTTGTTGAAATGGTAACCTCTTTGAGAACAGAAAACCTTCCAAACTTGTGTATGGTTTTTGGTTCCTCAAATGGTAACCGGAGAAGAAATAAAGATCCATTTGCAAATTTTCTTCTTTTCTCATTTTTAAAATTTAACCAGATTTGATGAAGATAGAAAATCAGCAACATCGTTGAAGCATTTATTGTCTTTGACTTTTATATTCAAGCAATCAGAACTTGAAATGGATGATTTGCGTCTTCCTTTTTGAGGATTCGTTCCCTGTAAAAGAAAACAAAACCCCGGATGAACAAAAACGGGTTTTATCAGCAGCTTTTCTAACTGTGACACAAAGATGACATGCATGGTCTCCCTTAGTGACAGATGTGATTGAACATGTGGACTTTGTTAGAATTTGAAGGGTGAAATATGCCCTCAGTACTTGATCTTACTTCTACGTCCCTCCAATCTGGATCTTTGAATGGGCTGCATTGCCAAGATGTAAGATCATATAACAATAGTGATTATGCCCATGTATGACATTATGGGCAATGTTTTGCATTCAACTTTGTTATCCAACTCCACATTTAGACCTAGAGTTAAGGTAGTACTTGGGTACTAGTGTTGGACAACATACCAAGGATTTTATGTTGAAGGGGTGAATTTTTTTAAAATTTTAAGGGGCAAAAACAAATTATCAATTAAAAATACAAATAAAATATTTAAAATATATGATAATTTGAAATTTTCAAAGTGCAATTGTCTTGCCCTTCAGTCTATCGTGGTGTTAATCTTTCAACCAAGCAAGGATGATGTTTTGTTTCATGATGTGCAGGATTTGGGAGCAAGGATAAGTAAGGAGAATTGTCGTGACATGCTAGGAATGCTGAGCAGAATGTAAATGCCAACTCGGACGACATTTCGAAAGCGAAAAAGATGAAAGAAGATATTTTCAAGAGTCATATGTCCTTGTCTTCACGTGCCTTCAGTTGCCAGACACTTAGGAGGGAACATCTGCCACCTGGGTCGGTTGATTCTGTCAGCACGTACGCCCAGTTGCAAGCCTCCCAGAATGAACCACCCAGCTGCCCAGAAGGGACCACTGCTACATCTTTCTCACCCCCATGTGAAGGAAACTAGCTTGGGGTATCATAGGAATTTTAACACAAATTCCTAGGTTTATTCCCCATTATAAAAAGAAGATGAAGCCACCAGACTTAAGACCCTCTTTTACACGTCGTTGAGCTTAATTTCAAAAGAGAAAATGTCTCTCATTTTTCTCGTCAATCGTTTTGTCGTGGCATTCCTCCATTAACAGGCTAGAGAGAGTGTCGAGTTAGGTGTTTGAGAGGAGCTAGCGAGCTAGGACAATTCGTGGTGACCGAGGGGAGCTCTGGCAGTGCACGTCGAAGGCTTTTCCTCAATCCCCTTGTTGTTTGCTTTTATTTATCTTAGTTGGGTTGTATGGAACGAATTAATTTCATGCCTTGTTGATTAAATATTCGAATCCCACCATGAATTAGCCTTATTTGGTAGGAGTTCCTTATGATATTTAAGTTTTATTTTAATAGATAGTTGTTTTTGTATTCTGTTATTTGTTTTGTTTATGATGCTTAATGCCTTAAAGTTGTAGGAGCTATGAGAGTAGTCATTTCTTAGGAGAATGCTTAGTGTTCGAGAGAATGACTAAGTAGCATATCTTTAGTGTTCGAGAGAAACTGGGGAGGATCCACATAAGAAAGATGTTCTAGGTAGTAACTAAACCTAATCCAACCTTAGACATAAAGCTAGGATTTCAATTGACTAAAAGGAGTAGTGCTCGGTAAAGAGGTTAGATGTTAGTGCTGACGTTGAGTGGTATTGCTGTGACATATTCTGTTGATCTGAACCAATAGGATCCTTGCACCTACTAATGCTGAGAGGTATTGCCATCGCATTCTCAACCTGTCGAGTCCCTTGACTAGAGATAGCATAGGGCACTTTTGTAAACTATGTCGAGCAAGTAAGACATAGAAGTAAGACCATCCTGAGAAGTTAGACTTAAGTTTCCTATGCGACTCCTATCATTTATTCTTATAGTATCTTGTTGTGTGAAGATTCTAAAATCAATTTATTCAAATCCAGTGTTTACATTTTGTTTTGACTTTGCATTTTAAATTGATTCCACTACATTCAATTCATTTTTGCCAAGATATTTTCATCCATTTTGCCACGACATCTTCATTTGCTGTCACATTACATTACACCATAATTTCATTCCCACCAATATCCATTTCATTTTGCCTCAACATTCTCGTTTGTACATACCATCACTAACTATACTTAGGTAAAGTAGTTATTTTCCGTGATTAAACTTGTAAATATCCTCCAATAATTGTGGAGACGATATTCACTCATCACTGTATTACTTGTTCGATTGTGTATACTTGCATTTTTGTTTTGATCATTTTTGCTCTGTTTTAATCAACGATGATGTTGATGTGATATTTCTTTTAGTTATTTTTCAGTGATGGCATGATACTATCTTATAGTGACATAGTGACACATCAAATCATTGTTAATTTTTTAACGATGTGTACCAAATCAGAACAAAAAAATAATGTTAGTTATGATTTTGAAGAAAAAAAGAGTTGAGTGATCAAAACAGAAACTAACGAATGGGTGGGTGACCAAATAAATAGTTTATCCTAAGAATAATCTTTCACGTTCAAAGCCTAAATTTACATTTTGAGTTATTGCAGTTTTCCAGGAAACCAAGCAAGCCTTAACAATCCACTCATGGAAAAAAGTTGGACACTTTTTCCGACAATTTGATTAATAAGTCGTAGAAATGAAAAATACAGATATGCTGAAATTGCAAAAGGAAGTGCCGATTGGCGACGGTGAGAATAGCAATAAAGATCAGAGGTTTGGAGCTGCCATAGAAGAATAGCCCGTACAATTGCTAAATGGAAGTCAATACTGTTATGACTTTCCTGCAATTGTGAATAATAGCAGTAGAAGAAATAGAGAAAGGAGGATAAAGAAGATGAGAAAGGTTTCAACAAGGAACACTCAACCTAGGAAGAAAAATTAGCCGCAGCCAATGGTTAAATAAATAACATATCCCCCTTCTTAAGTCACCCTAACTTATTTATACTAACTAATATTTCTTCAATGTTATTAAAATAAAAGTCTCACAAGTGATCCCTTTGACAGCTACTTGTCCATTTGATTTGTTTATAACAAATACAATTAGAAAAGATCAAATATTTGGATGCATACCAATATTCAACAGCAATGATTAATGGCATAACACTTAGATTCTCTTGTAATACACAAAGAAACCACGTTGGTATACAACTTAACACACATTTTCATCAATTTTAGAAATGAAGAACGACCACCCCTCCTAGAAAAAGAAAAGAAAAGAATTATCTCCATCATACTATCCAATATGGAGAATCAAATTTAACCTTTTTAAGAAAAAAAAATTAAGAAACTAAACATGAATACAAACCTCTTCAATGTTAAGTTCTATTCCAGAACACACAGAACAAATGAAGCAAAAACACATTCAGCTCGCAATATATTATCCCCTGTACCTGCCTGCCAGAAGGGCTAAAGACGTGCCATTTCAGATTTTCGGTTCTGTTATCTACTTGGGGTTGTTACTTCCCTTCTTCTTCAGTAGGCTCCCGAATTTTCGGAGTAAGGGCTTCTTCTTTTCTGTTGTTGCTGCTGCTTTGATGGTGAGATTCCACCATCATCGGCATTTTCCGTAGAACCATTTATTGATCAAGTCTTTCGGCTTCGATGCTCTCCACCTTTGACTCCACTTCCTCGTCGAAGGATTCTTGCTCGGGTTCTCTTCCCGGAGAAAATTCCTTTGTTTCAATTTTGCAGCTCTCCCACATTTTGAATTCAACTTCAACTGAATCATCCTCTTTGCCTTTCGTCTCATCGTGATTCAGTTTCCATTCACGCTGTCCACTTTGGCACCATCCACATGAAGAGCCTCATCTTTTGAGCCATCATTTAGTTCCAGAGATTCTTTTTCCGTCTTGTCGAGCTGTTCTGCTGGAAGCTCTAACTTGAGCTTCTCTTCAATTCCATGTCCGTTCACTTCCGAGAATTCAACCACCTTGGGCAGCAAATCATAGTCCTTCTCGCTGTCAGATAACTCACCATTTTCCCCATTTTGCTTTTGATTGTAGCTTCTTCTAACAACTTCGACAATTCCTCGATTTTCTTAAGAGAAGCAACTTCCCCAGCTCGGAGCTCCTCGTTTTCTTGAACGACACTCTGCATTTCCGTTTCTTTGTCTAACAAACTATCCTTCAGTTTCATGCTCTCGGTTTTGGCTTCTTTCAGAGCTTCTTGCAAATAAACCAACTCAGATTCGGCTTCCTTTAGGCTCTCCTTCAACTGAGCTTCTTCCTCCTTTGATGCCGAAGCTTCTTCCTCGGATCGTTTCAGCAAATTTACCAGCCTATTGATCTCTTTTTCAAGAGATGAGTTTTCTTCTTCCGATTTTTTTACACAATCTACCAAATGCAGTTCTTTTTGTTCCCACTCAGTTTTCAAATTTTGGTATTCATTCTTAGACCGTTCAATGGTATTTTTAAGAAGATCAATCTCATTCTTTGCATCATCAAGCATGGTTTCGTACTTCTCATTTTTCGCTTTTAGGACCAATCTTAGATCCTCTAACTGTGTTTCATAATGTCCATGCTCAGCTTCAATCGACAACAGCTTCTCCTTAGCTTCCCTAGCTTCTGCGGAAACTTCATGTAATGCCGAAGCTAAGCTTTCCATTGCTTTTTTGCTCTTCTCTTCCTCATCCCGGGAATTTTCCAGATCAGTGATGAGTTTGTTTTTCTTTTCTAAAAGTGTTTGAACACTGGAAGCCGCGAGCTTCTCATTATCTAAAGCTTGAATCTTTTCTTCCTTCATTGTTTCTAACTCGGATTTCAGAGACTCGACCAATTTCTCTGCTTCAGCAGTTTCTTCTTTAGCCTTAATAATGTGAGTTTCCGATTCCTCGAGATCCCCCCTCTGTCTACTGACCGTCATTTCCAATAATCCGACCTTCTCTTTAAGAGCTGCAATTTCAGATTCAGCATCATGCAATGAGTCATTGTTGTTCTCTAATTGCTTCATAACTGATTCCAGTGATTCTGATGCCGATTGTTCCAACTTCTTTGCTTCCTCAATCTGCATTTCTAATTCTTCGACCCTTCTTTTGCATTCCCCTAACACATTGTGCGCATACGATTCAGCCATTCTCGCAGCTTCTAACTCAAGGTTAAGTTGTTCAACGACAGCCTCCTTTTCCATCAACTTCTCCTTGTAGATCTTTGCATTCTCGAGTTGTTGTTTCAACGACTCTATCTCAGCCTTAAGATTCAAAATCATTTTGTTGTTTCATTAGTCTCGGTTTCATGCTTCAAATCAAGCAAGGACTTCAATCGAACCAATTCTGCTGAAAGAATCTCCACCTTCTCGGCATGGGTTTCAGCAATCTTGGTTGCATCATCGGCATGAACCAGAGCTTGATTCTTTGCATCACAAATTGCGGAGAGTTCCTGCTTCACCTTTTGAAGCTCCTCAGTGGTCGAGAGAAGTGCAGCCACATCCAAAGTATGCTGATTCTTCATGGACTCGATCTCTTTCTCCCATTCTGCATCTTTCTTTCGAGCAGCTTCAATCCCCGCCTGTTCCAACTCAAGAGCCCGAAATTTCTCAATCTCAGAGCTCTCTTCGGCTCGCTTTTGCGCCACAACAGCCTCTCTAAGCTTTTCATTTGCTTCTTCTGCAGCTTTCTGTGCTTCTCTCAGTTCATCAGTCGCTTGTGCCTTCTCCGCTCAATCAATGCTATTTGCTCCTTTGCTTTCTTCAATCCTCCAGAACCGAGTTCAACTGAGCCTGCAATTCAGATCCCTTACTGACCCGT